TTGGTTTTAAACTCAAAGGATGGTTTACATCCTCTTCTATGGCCATGTGCCTTCACCCCCCTCACTATGCGTAATGGGTGGTGTTCCCAAGCTTTGCCATCTTCACCAAGACCTTGGCGAGCTGGTCCCCACCATCATGCAGGTACCTCTGCACCGCACTGCTTGACCAACGCCCCTGGCGCTTCACCAGCTCGATCTCCCCGGTGCTTTGAAACAGCGCGGTTGCTCCCCCAATCCTCAAACTATGGCTGAGGAAGCGTTCGGGGGGTAAGCCAACCCCCCTTGCCGCCTGCTGCAACAGCGACTGCACCTCGATCCTCTTGAGGACGTTGCCGTTTGCACAGCGAAACAAGCGCTCCCTCGCATGTCGATGGTCTCGGGCAAAGCGGGTAGGCCACGCCTTCTTCATGCCAAGTAGCGCTTTGACTGGGCACAGGTGGACAACCTTGGTCTCATTCAAGGTCTTGGGCTCGCCAAAGGCCAGCTGATCCGATTTGGTCTTCCGGAACTGCATCGTCACCTCATTGGCCGTCTCGTCATCAACCCCCACAGTGTCCCTGGTGAAGCGAATGTCGATGCCCCTGAGGATCATCTCGTCGTCGACTCCATTGCTGTCACAATACTCCTTGGCCCTCAACATGAAGAACCATGCAGTCACCATGGCTGCCTTGAGCATCACCGGTGTGGTCGCCTCCAACGGTTCCACCAGGCGTCGCCCCAACCATGTGAGCATCTGTGGTGTCACCCCCAAACGGCGGGGTTTGTGTACCGCCTTGCGATCCATCGACCGAGCCAACATCCAAAGGCGGCACATACCCTCCGTAGGGTCGCCAACTCCAGCTCGCTTGTGGCTATCCTTGATCGCGAGCCTGCCTGATGGTTGCCGAAGAAGCCCCCAACCAGCCCAGGTACCCGATGAAGCTCAGGACATAATTCTCGTTCTGGACAGGGTCTCCTTTACGGCTGAGGTATTCCGATGGCCACCCTTGCCGTTTTGCCCAAGCCTTCCACTTTGCCCATGATCCTGCATAGGCTTTCTCTGTGCTTGGGGCTTTATCACCCATCAAATTTTCTTCAAGCCATTCCTCAACCCGGGAGGCCACTTGCCCATCGAATGGGCGCGGGGGTTGCAGCAAGACCTCCACTGCCTTGTTGCCGATGACCTCCTCGATCTTCTTCCTGCGTCGACCACCCGCATAGACGCCCTCGAACTGGTTCTCCTCGCCCTCATCCGACACATTGCCTTCAAGGGCGTCGATCCACCAAGCCTCAACCCATCGGGAAACTGCGTGGCCCACATCGCTCACCAGGGTCCCAGCGCAGCGCAGCTCACCTCGCTTCCACCTTCTCAGCCACACGAGGATCTGTGCCATGGCCTCTGCGCCCTGGACTCTCTGCCCATTCCAGCCTTCACACCTTGCTGAGCCATCAAGAGGATGTAGCCTCCAACCGTGAGCAAGCTCGTGGCCGTGCGGACGCCCGTAGCCTTGGTGCCCTCCACGATCCACTGCTCGTAGTCTTGAGCCGGTTCCTTGGCCGCCCCACTCCTGCCCTGAAGCACCCAGATCTCCAAACCCAAGGTGTCCAGGTGGTCCTTTTCGGTCATAGACATACACATCCTCCAATGCCCCTTCTTGATCATCGAACAGCGGCCACCTCACCGGGCCCCCCAAGCCATGCAAGACCTTGCGCTCCGAGCGCTCGTCCATCCAATAGTGCCCAACCCCTTGCGGAAGCATCGGGTCCCTAGCTTGACCCCCCAGCAGCTCCATACGATGAGGCATCACCCAAGTCTCCTCGTTCTTCCATTCTGGAGTTGTGAGCAAATTAAAGAGCCAATGCACTGGATACTCACAACTGATTATTGCTCTTGCGAGCCTATAATCTACGTGTGTGTGTGTGCGCAGTGTTGGGGGGCGTGAGTCAGTTGATGTGTAAGTTGTTAGTGCGAATAAGTTAGTGTGAGTATACAAGTTAGTGTGACTGAGTTGGTGTAAGTAAGTTGGCGCGAGTGATGATTGGTGTGAGTGCGCGGGAGCGACGGCGAGATACAAGTAAGAACCCTAGTCAGCATATGGGGGAATGAATGAATTCTTCAGGAAGGAAGCAGTCAAAACAAAAGCAACAAACCTGTCAACTACCGAGCTTTGTCAAGCATGATACTGATTTGTTTGAGGCATAGGCAAGGGAAAGGGCATGCCTGATGCCCTTGGCTGTCCCACCGGAAACTACCATCAAAAGCATCGGTAGCAGCTTCTTTGGCCGCGCGTGCTGCTTCCTCACATGTCAAACAACAGGCAAGTGGATAGCACAATGCATCCAATATCCAATGATGATTAGCCATCTCCAAAAACACGCATTGACACTTTCCACTGCAAGGGTCTAACTGGCGAATGAAAGTGATTATAGATATGAATGTCTGCAGCATTTTGAAGAAGCTGTGTTTGTGTTTTGGCCATGATTGTGCAATGATTTCTGAGGTCCACATCCTGCTCGTTAAGTGCTTTGCTGCATAGATTCTAGCTGCCATGTAAGACAACTCTCAATCAAGTGCTCCCCTGCACCTCCGAGGGGTTGAGGGCCATCGGGCTATGCTGGAGTGCATCAAAGCTCCAAGATCATCTGGAGGAGGCACCAATTCCTCATGCTTAAGGGAGGCGAAGCTGAGAAGCACTTTTGCTATTTGCAGGCCTTGATCATCTTTGTGTAAGCATCTCTACAAAAGTTGCAAAATTGAGTCTTTAGTCTTTAATAGCTGTTTTGCGCGTCACGTCACATAACCTGAGTCACTCATATTTCAATGCACTGGATGCCGGCTTGCAATGTTCAACACTACGACCAGAATGATTGGACCAAGAATCGGGTTGCTCAAGCTCATCAGCTTCTTCCTCTGCATCTGTAATGTCCTGCAAGGGAACTGGCCATTGTATGGAAGGGACGGCAAAAGGTGCTGCACACCCTGGACCAACGCAAGTGGACCTTCTCGCAGGAACGAACAAACATATTCATGTTTGCAAAGGCAGGCTCTTCCTGAATAAGCAAAGGCGTAGCTTCATCATACGGAGCTTTGGATTCCAGCAATGCAATCTGCACACCGGTTGGCCGGTCTTTGAGCCTTCACAAAGCCACGCATTGAAGGCGCGTCATGGAAAGTTCAGGATGTCTGGAGTGCCATTTCTGATAAAATGCACCTCACCATGAAGGTAGCTGGCAGTGGCATGGGCTCGGGACCTGCAGCGTTTCTGACTACATAGAGTCACCGAGAGCCGGAGGAAGTCTTGCAATGTCTTGTATACATGTATAGACACCAAAACAAAGAGCAATATGATGCAATAGGTCCAAGGCAAGCGAAGCTAAGAGCTATACCGGCACAAGTTAAGATGTGAATCAAACTTCAATCACATTGCAGCTTCTGCCCCCAACAAGACCCACTTGATGCAAAATGTGCGAGTCATTTCGTTCAGGTTCAATCAATAATTTTGATCTTTAACGGCAAATCGTCAATCAATCTCGTTGCCCTCACCTCCCAGCGCGAGGCGCAATTCGGGAATGTTGGTCAGGAGCAGCAAACCAGAGGATGCAAGGTCCACCGGCCCTAGTGGTCGCGCTACCATCGTGGTATCCGGCCTGAGCTACAAGCCAACTTCTAAAGGCGGTTGTTGGTTGCTTTTGCAGGGACAACAATGTCCACAAAAAGAACATGTGCAAAGATTGAACATAATAATTCACAGCGTAGTGCTAGGCGTGCCACAAAGACTTTACAGTTTTATATGCTTTGCGACGAAGCGCAGTAGCTGCTGATAGGTCGGTCGCTTCAAGGGATCGCCCTCTGTGAGGGCATAGCCTAACGTGAATGGAACGAAAGGTCCGGTTCCTACTAGCGATGCCCTTTGCTCCTAGTAGCTTCTTGCTCCTAGTAGTAAGGCCAGGAGCCCCTAGTAGCGTCCTCTTCAAATCACAGCTCCAGGCCTTGAGGTTTATGAACCAAAAAAGCCAAACTCCCCAACAGGGCCAGCGAATGACCATTCACAGTGATCTCGTGACTGTCCTCGGGGCATTGATTTCAATTGATCTCCAAAAGGCGAATCTGGGAGATCAGCGAATCTTGGCTTATAGTGCAGTTTCTGTCTCGACCCAGCAGTTTCTTGTCTGTATCCTTCCGTCAACCATCACTCTGGACCTGCATCAGGGTGGAGCAAAGGACAAGTACTGAAGTGAACACAATCCCAAGCAATATAATGTCGTGTCAAACTGTCTCAAGTGCACCTTCGTGTGTCCTGTTCACATTCAATAGTTCTTCAGACTCGCGATGGGTTTCCCTCAAAAAGTGCCCGCCTCTGTATGAGAGCTAGGGCATCTTGAGCATCAAGGCTCAACACAGACATCAGTCGTTGCTGTAGGCGCTGAGGCCCTGGCACCAGCAGTTCGCGCATGACTCGCCACTGGCATGGGTTCCACGTTCGTTTGACTTGAGATGAGCTCCCAACTCGTAGCATCTCGCAGAAAAGTGACTGCGTCCAAAACAATCAGGTATCAATTAAGTGACAATCAAATGTCCAAAGGTTGGTTGTCAATCATCGCGTTGTTTTGACGAGATCGTACCAACGAAATGACGTACATATGTACCAAACCTGTCCGGACTTCCCAACTCCAAACTGTCCATACCAATCTTTACAAGTTTGGAATCAAGGCGAGGCCTCCCATGCAAATAAGAGTCCACCCGCATATGCATGTGGCGATTTCACTTAGCTTCGATCAGTTGAACCAAAATTGCAGAATGCATGGTATACCTTCAGGCCCGTTCCTCCGCCCCTCTGCCAGACATTCATCGCTGCTGTAGCCATCGAACCCAAGTATCGGAGTCGATACTACCTACAAGTAGCTACTACTTAGGACGCACTATAATGATTTGGTTCCTAGATTGTTTGGGGAAACTTCGTCATAATCTGCAGATTTGACCCCACGGTTTCTGCTTTTGTTCTTGCCTTCAAAACAGCTCGATCGATGCAAAGTAGCTGCAATTGGCGCTCGAGTCAACTTGCGATGCCCCGCAAGAGCTTCCGGTGGCAGCGGCTTCCTCAAACCCAGCAAGGCCACAGTCCAGTCATTTTTAAGTCTGCGCAATGGAAGCTTGTTTCAAGACTGTTTCGGATTCAAGCTGCTGGAAGCCCCAAATAGGTTGCCACACCATCGAGCCATGAGATGGCCACCGCGCACGATGTAATCGCGTCCAGGTCAGACGGTGCACACTGCGGTAGGGCCTTATGCATGAGAAACTAATCAAAAAGGGAGATCCTTTTTGGCCAGCAAACCACCCTGGTTTCTTCACAGAGGGTCCAAATCAAACCACACATCTGCAAAGAATCATGTTGGCAGAAAAGGAGAAAACATAAGCGAACGGAAGAGCGTCGAAGTATCCCAACGGCGCTGGCAAAGCCGCGGCAAGAGGATCGATGGCGCCCAGGTCATCAAAAACCCCAGCGGGTCAAGTGGAACAGAATCCAAAAATCTCTCGGTATCCAAGCTGGAAAGGCTGCATGAGTGAAGATAAACGGTGGCAGTGGTTGTCAGCCAAGAGATGTTTGTTTGTTCTATAGTTGCTGACTGCGAGCTTTGGTGAATCTTGTGGTGAGCTTTGGTGACATTCCTGCCTTGTTTTTTCAAATTCAATCCGGAGCATGAGAAAGGTACCTGACATTGAACTCAACCCCTAAAATTTTCAAATTGCTCTAGGATGCTAAAGATGCTAAAGTTATGCGAGCCAAAACGCGTATAAATATATATATATAATATCTAAATAAGTACAGAACGTGCACTTCAAATTGGTTTTCTAACACTGGACACCACCAGACTCATTGAGTTTGGTTTTCAAAAAAAAGGACAACGGCGTGCCCGGAGCTGGAAGCAATCACATCCAAGGTCGCATCGACGTTGCTCAGACCGACCTTTCGCAAGGTGTCAGACAGATAAACCGGCAAGAATATCCAAGAACCCATTGCGCCATGGGCCCCACATACCCGTTCTATCCCTCTCGCAGCCCAGCTTCATGTTGCATGTGACAGTGCGTTGTGTTTTATGGTGGCAGACTGACCAACTTTCGCCGACTTGCATTCAAACCATCAACGAGATACCCATCTGTACCCAATGTCACTTCTTTCATGATGTCCGCCTCGTGCGTAACTGTTGGACCTGCACAAAGATTGAGACCCTCGTCCATCGCAAATGACAGTATAAAAAAATGTGTATCCAACTCATTTGGTTGCAGTACATGCTCTCTTGATAACGCAACATACAACATGCACCCACACCCACAATCACACACATACACTTAGCAAAATGCTCGGAAGGAACCTGTTTCAGTGGAATACCGCCACTCATTAGCCGCATTAACCCTTTACTGCACTAGCACGTTATTGCACTAGCACTTTACACGAAACAACTTATAAGACAGCTTGAGCTTTGCTTGAGAGTAGACATTCAAACGAGTTAAATTGAACGAAACAATTTCAGCTACATGAGCCTCCATGAAACAAACCAACCAATCAACAGTTGAGCCAGGGGTACTTTTTCACCTCCCTAGCATGTGGTCTTCCTTTGCAGGCGCACACCAGGGAGTCCTGGCCCCATTTGTCTACACACGCAACAGAGACAGAATCTAGTTAAACATTCTCTTGCGACAGTCTGAGGCGTCAAGAAACAGGGGTTGACACACTGAGATGGTTGCTCGCAGGAGCTAGTATCAGTACGAAGTTCCCCTTGACTTGACGAACCCAAGGAAGTGCAAACCGCAAGGCCGTAAAGTCAGTCAACTTGTAGGTGTTGAACACTGTTTGGTAATGCATTAGCGGCCTGCTGCAAAACACAGGAGTGGACAGCTTGTCAACAGTTAAAACCAATTGAAAATGGCAGGTACGTAGTTCTGGCATCCCAGAACTATATCACTGTGCGACAGATGCGTCTTCGTTGGCTGGAGACATCTGAAGCACACTCCAGCCCCCTGCCTCTTTTTCTGCGTTCAGAAACTGTAAGTTAGTAGCGATACCAGGAGCCTTTAGTAGCAAAACCAGGGGTCCTAGTAGCGTCCTTTATGACTCAAAACCTTAGGCACAGGTGTGGACACACACACGAAGCCGCACTCGGCGCGCTGACCCTTGCTTGCAGTTTAGTAGCGTGGCCAGGAGTCGCTAGTAGCGTCCTTACAACCTGGTAGTACCGTCCTAGCTCCTGGTAGCGAGGCCAGAAGCCCCTAGTAGCGTCGTTGGTGTCCGCCGGTCGCAAAACTTTGTACACATAGCGCCAATATTGGCGCTTTTTGTTGAAGACTACTAGCGACCTAAAAAGCCTTAGAAAGACAGAAAAAGCAAACAAAACGCAGACTAAGAGGGCAAGAAGGAAAGATAGGCGTAGTTACGAGGCCCACTTAGTTAAATGAAAGTAGAACGCGAGCGGGACCTTTTGTCTTAAACCGCCCGGGTAGCTAGCAATAGAGTAGGACTAGGAGAAACGGAAGGAAAGGCACCAACACACAAGTGTGTTGAGCGCGATTTCCTTCCGTTGCCCGAATAGCGGGTGGGATAGCAACCGAGGCCCAGGGGTAGGGAGGTAGGGGGAGGGTGGGTTAGGGTGGCCTGTAGGCCTTGCCATCATTGGCTTTCAAGTATAGCCGATTTGGGCCGGCGTACCCCTTCCCTGAAAGACACCTGGAACCCAAAGAAAGGCCTCAAGAAACGAAAAGCAACAAAAGGAGAGAAAGAACCGAAGAGCATGAAAAACACATGTAACAAAAGCACAGTGCGTGAACCCGCCTGCGAATACTTAGACGCATGTTTCCATGTGAATCTCAAGTGGGAATCACAGTGAGCCCTGCGGCATAAGATCAGTGGTATCGCGCAGCACGGTCGATCAGGGGTAAGAATCACAGTGAGCCCTGCAGCATGGTATCCCCCAGGATCTGGGTCTATGCACACGCTGCGCCCCTTGACGGGGATCACACCACAGCCCTCAGTGGGACCCTGTGGCGAAACACACTGAGATGGTTGCTCGCAAGAGCTAGTATCTGTACGAAGTTCCCCTTAACTTGACGAACCGAAGGAAGTGCAAACCGCAAGGTGGTAAAGTCAGTCAACTTGTAGGTGTTGAACACTGTTTGGTAATGCATTAGCGGCCTGCTGCAAAACACAGGAGTGGATAGCATGTCAACAGTTAAAACCAATTAAAAATGGCAGGCACGTAGTTCTGGCATCCCAGAACTATATCACTGTGCGACAGATGCGTCTTCGTTGGCTGGAGACATCTGAAGCACACTCCAGCCCCCTGCCTCTTTTTCTGCGTTAAGGAACTGTAAGTTAGTAGCGAGACCAGGAGCCTTTAGTAGCAAAACCAGGGGCCCTAGTAGCGTCCTTTATGACTCAAAACCTTAGGCACAGGTGTGGACACACACACACACTTATAGAAATGCGTACTGACTCGAATGCCGCTCGCCACACGGCAACCTAAGGAAACCAAATCCTGAAAAGACAAGAGGGGGTCTCAGTTCCTGTAGTTAAAGGCCAGAAGTCAAACTCCACGATGCGACGAACCGACGGGATGACGACGTACGTTCTTGTCTGCCGCATGCGCTAGCCCTTTACGGAAACTTACAAGTTGATGCAGGTACGTCAGCAAGCGTCCTTGCTGATATCAGCACAACCTGAAGAGCCTCTTTGTTAGATGCCCTCTCTTCAGGTGTGGGGCATCCCCCTGCTTAAAAAACACTTCAACAGGAACCCTGTGACTCCAAAGGTTACACACACATGCCCCCCCGAGGGGAAGCAAAAAGAATCAAGGCTAGGACGGTTGCGTAAGTGCACGCGCAGCCAGGACAAAAGAGTGAAAACATGAAAAGGAGGACGAGACGGGACACAGGTGTTTGTGGTTGAAATGAAAGAGAAACCAAGTGAACAGGGACAACTCACCAACCCCACTTCATTGTCAAGACCTGGGCGACCTGAAACCTGTGTTAAAGTGTAGGTAGATGTGCGCGTACACACTAAGGCCAGGACCGATGTGTGCGCAAACGAGAAAAGGAATGAGATGACAAAACATGAAGACAGGACGACATGAAAGAAAAGAGGAAAACAAAAGTATGTGAAGGGGAAAAGATGAAAAGGGAAACCAAATGGAGGGGGCGAAAACCAGTGAACCCAAACCTCATTAGAAAACCTACGCAAACCTCGTTGAAAATGTACGCACTGTGCGCGCACTTGAGGTGGCGACAGGTTCCAATGAACCTTCGATGTACTTTGACCGCTGTGGTCACCTTGACATAGTATACCCCCGTTCAACGGGTCCACAGGGGCCCCTCTGCGGGGTCACCCTGGGCTCTCACGAGGAGAGACACACTTATAGAAATGCGTACTGACTCGAATGCCGCTCGCCACACGGCAACCTAAGG